CTGTTCTCGAGGTCCGTGACCCGCTGGTGCAGGGAGTTGAAGTTGGCGATGAGGGGGTAGCGGGTGTTGATTTGGCCCTTGGACCAGCAGTCGCAGGAGATCTGGAGGGTGCTGCCGTTGCCCAGGATGGGCTGGGCGGAGAGGGGGGTTTGGCACAGGAGGTTCCGGATGATGTTCGGCGTGAATTGCGTTTGGGTCGAGTTGAAGACACCACCTCCCTCGGCGCCGGGGGCCACCGGGAAGTAGCGGGCGTCCAGGGGCCCGAGGTCGTTGGTCCTCAGGAAGCGGCTGTCCGCCTCGGCCTTGGACCATGAGTCGCTCCGGATGCGCAGGGTGGACTGGTTGCCCAGAATCGCGTCGCCGACCAGCGGCGCCTCCAAAAGCAAATTGCGGATGATCCTGGGCGTGAACTGCTCCTGCACGAGATTGAACACCTGCCCCGATTCCGCGCCGGGAGCTCTCACGAAGTAGCGGGCGTCTCCCGCGGTCTGGTCCAGCAAGCCGGCGGCGTCGTCGATCTCCGTTTGGGTGCGCCCCGACGTCCAGTACTGGGTCAGCGTGGCCGTGAGCAGGGAGTCCAGCTCGGTCCTGGGATAATACGAGAGGAGCTCGTTGGCCACGTAGGTCTGGGTCTCGGCGGAGGTGAAGTAGGGCGACAGGTCCACGCCGCCGGTCACGGCGTCGGCGATGGCCTGGTCGGTTTCGGCTCGCGTGTAGAAGTCCAGCAGCAGGGCCGTGATGATCTTCGAGTCCACCTGGCTTGAGTCGTCGTAGGAGCTGAGGGCCGCGGAGATGGCCGAGCGACCCTGGCTGCTGGTCTGGTAGTTGGCCAGCTCGCCCACCACGAAGCTCGACACCTCCGCCTGGGTCCAGTAGGCCAGCAGGGCCTGGTCGATCAGGAACTGCAATCCCGAGGCGTCCTGGTACTGGCCGACGTTCAGGGCGTCGACGGCATCGGCGATGGCCGTGTTCATCTCCGAGGTGCTGCTGTAGGCTCCCAGAACATCGGAGATCGCCGTGCCCACCTGGGCCGTCGTGCTGTAGGCGGCCAACGCGGCCAGGATCTCGTTGCTGACCCAGGCCTCGCTGGCCAGCGGCGCCAGCAAGGCGTCCGTCTCCCTGCGGCTGTAACTGTCGCAGGCGAAGCTGAGGGTCCAGTTGTCGTTGGCCAGTGCAACGCTCAGGGGACCCGCGGCGTGCAAGTTGCGGATCTGATTGGTGCCGGCCAGCAGGTCGAAGGTAACCTCCCCGACCCAGGCTGGAGCATTGACTAGATTCGTGGCCCCGCCAAGGGTGGCGATTTCCGCCAGGATGGCATCGATGGATGCCTGCAGGGCCGTGATCTCGCTGGGCAGGGCGAAGGGCCCCGCGCTCTGCAGCGCCAAGATGTCGGCGTCGTGGCCGTCCAGCCGGCCGTCTCTGAGCGCCAATGCGGCGTCGAGAGCCGCTTGCTGGACGTAGGCCAAAAGAGCGGTGGCGACTCGCTGATCCACATCGGCGGCTGTTTGCCTGGCCGCCAGATCGATGGCCAGCTGGTCCACCACCGATTTCAAAGCGTAGGTTGTCGCAACAGTCGCCAGCGTTGCGTTGTTCGCCGAAGCGATGCTGCTGTTCATCGCAGCCGTGGTGGGATGGTTGGCCAGCTTGAGGTCCACCGAAGCGGGCGTGCTCTTGCCGTTGACCTCGACTTGTAGGGCGTCCAAAGCGCTTTGGTTGGCTTTGGTGGCCAGGCCCTGGGTCAGGCTTGTGTTCACGGCCACCAGGCCGGAAGCGTTGGCGACGATGGAGCCCTCTGCTGCGGCGAGGTCCGCAGCCAAAGCGTAAGGGGTTAGGTCCGGAG